AAATATGTTCGTGTTTTCCAAATAAAATTCAGTTGGCAGTAGCGCTTTTAGTTTGCACTACTACTTCTTTCAGCTCGGTTGTTTGTTTTGCTTGCGCTTCTAAGTATAGGCTTGTTGCAGCTGACTTCACTTCCGGCTAAACTGTAGGTCAAAACCAACACTGTCGTCTACTATCAGTGCCTTGGCGACATGTTGGAGGCAAAAAATGTTCTTCACCTGACATGAAGTGCACTCCGTAAACCCGTAGTTAGTGTACGAAGCTTTTCTGTCAAGATCATAGAGTCAACTATAATCATCTAAAGCGAAAAGTCCCATGCGTTTGGCCGCGACGGGAGGGCGATGCATAGACGCGGACATCGGCGGCCAAATTTGGCGGTTCCTATGAGCTCATATCGCTGGCGACGCATATGCACCAAGGAGCAGCCAAAAATCACCTGTAAATTGTGCACTTTTTTTTTTTGTTTTGCAGAAAAACATTTGAATTGCGTGTTGACAAAATCAAATAAAGGTAGGCTGTACCAACTCACTTATTAAAACATCCCTGCCCATCTTCTCTCCCCCCCCCCCCCCCCCCCGAAAAAAAAAAGCAAAAAAAAAGAAGCAAGTAGAGAAAAAAAAAAAGTCCCTCCCCGGGAAAAGAAAAAACAAAAAAAGAAATCTGCGCCGAGCAGCGTCGAACCTGCGTCGACCCCATAGCGGCGCCATCTGTTGACAGCCCGTGATACCGCGAGGAGAAACTAACTCTCGTTACAGTTACTCTCGAGTTCGAGTGAGGGTTAAGGGAGAGTATCATCGAAAGAAGCGGTGGCGAAAGAGTAACTTCGATGAAGAGAGAGTTAAAGTAGAGTAAGTTAGGGCACTTACTCTTCTTTGACACCTTTTTTTTTAGAGTGTATGTGCCACGCTTCAAAGATTTTTAATCTCGAAGCCTTGTACTTTTGCCTTCGAAAACCATCCTTGCTTCACAGTGTTGCTCTATTTTGTGCTGCCATGTGATGCATTAAAGTAGATTTGAAGCATAGCCACGGTTCATAGTGCATAAGAGCAACCATACAAATTGTTTCCTCCCTTTTATTGATAGAAACTCGTCGGAGCAGCTGGACGACCCCGAACTCTGGGGCCGATATATGATGCAAAGACATCCGCGCGGGACACACCTTCAAAACTTTGCCGCAGAGACGGTTCTTGATCGGTATCCAAGCGTGCTAAGGCCCAGAGACGGAGCACTTCGGCGTGCCACTGAAGCTTTGATCACGGAGACCGGCGACACTTGCTTTCGACGAGTTCTGCCTTTTTCTTGCGGCACTGCGCTTTTGCGAAATTTCTACGTGTTCTCAACGGCAAGTCTCAATGGTTACACAATGTCTTAAAACTTGTTTGGCGAATGACGACGAACGAGTAGAAAACGTGTCTTCAGTACGCTGCCACCTGTTTCTCGAACGCTAGCAAAAATCGCGATTTCGCCCCGAGCAAGATGGCTGTCCAGTGGCTTCACTCGCGGGAGCAGGAAGCGCGATCCAGCAATTGTCATAGAGAAAAGATTTTGCGGTTGTAGGAGTGTGGCAGATTTAGAAATATAAGTATTTCATTAGAACTCGACCATTGATTCTAACTGGGTATTCTTAATCCTAAATTCAGATAGAACGGACGTGCATTTACCAGATACACCACTCGCTGACGCTAACTCTCCCAAATGGCCACGACCACTGATCTCTGACAGTTGCTGGATGGCGCTTCCGCGCCCCGCGAATGCGGCTACCGGACGGCCATCCTCCATGTCAAAAAATCTCCTTTTTGGAGCGTTCCGGAGGCTGGCTACAGCGAGCAGAAGACACGGTTTATACTCGTTCGTCGCCATTCACCAAATAAGCTTTTTTTAAAAAAAAACCTTGTGTAAAAGGTGAGACTTGCCTTTGAAAACACGTGGAAATTTTTACTAAGCGCAGCGCTGCAGAAAAAAAGGCACAACTTGTCGAAAGCAAGTTACACCAGTCTCGAGGTGTGATCAAAGCTTTCTTGGCACGCCGAAGTGCTGCGTTTGTCTGCCTTCGCACGCTTGGATACCGATCAGGAATCGATGCCGCGGCAAAGGTTTGGAGGGGTGTCGCTTTTCATCATATATCGGCCACAAATTAAGTTCTGGATCGTCCGGCTGTTCTGCGAGTTGTGATCAATAAAGGAAAAAATATCTGTGGCTGCTATTATGCACTATTAACCATGGCTATGTTTCAAATCTACTTGAATGGCTCACATCACAGCACAAATAGAGCAACGTGGTGGTCCTTGTTCAAATGGTTGCCTTTCAATAGTGGGGTATCTACAAGGTGGTGGAGCAGACAAAACTACAGAATTAAGAGTGTTCTAATTGCTCCGTGGCGTGTGTATTTGTGATGTCTGCAAGTGTACAGAAGGCAAATGGCAAGTGCATGTTTCCATGGATGTATTGTGGCAACTCTTAAATTAATGTTAAGGATTTATTCCCCTTTTTCGCAAAACACTGGCCGTACATTCACAAAAACGAGATAGCAAAGCTTACAGAATCTATATCTGTTTTCGATGGTCTTTAGTTACAATTTATTTGTCATCTGTAGGGTGTAAAAAAAAAAAAAAAATTTAGTGTGATTTGTATTTTGTTCTTCTGTTACTGCAAAAATCAACTACGCATCATCAAACGCTCACTCTCCACCCAAATGTAGCCCTTCCTGTTACAACCAGACGCTAAAGTTTCAGAACTAACTTATCTCAATGAAAATTAAATTATTGCTGACTTTTTTTTAAATTTCAATTTGAAAATGGGGTTTATTTTCGACAGTTTTCGCTAACTGGCGCCATTCAGCTGCCTGTATTATTAGAGGTCCATCGGCGACCATTTTCTCAATAAATATTTTTCAAAACCGGATATAACTTTTTAATAAGATAACGGTTAGTTCTAAAACTTTGGTATCTGGTTCGGACCCCTAGGGCTACATTTGATCGAGGATTGTGTAGTTTAATTTTGTGATAAAAAAAAACTGTAAACATTTTTGGTGCACCACGTATATACACAAAGTTACCACGTGGCGCACCAAAAATGCTAAGTGCACCACGTATATACACGTATATACTCACAAAAAAAGCAGCGAAAAGCTATAGAAAAAGGATGGAAAAGAGGATGCATTTGCTTTAGATCATCAATGATTTTATATCCTCGATACACTATTTCCTATAGAAATAATGTAGAAATTGAATCGATATTTTTGTAAGGAGCAAAGGTTAAAAAAAGACTCGATTGCTAGGGTTTGACAAAACACAAGTAAATTCATCAACTTTTTTTTTTAAACGAAGCGTTAAACGAAGTGTTTACACACACCAAGGCCGGCTTACTAGAATCAGCTTCTTAGCTGAGCCTTTCACACAAGCTTAGATATATACTTTGTTTCAGCTTAAGTCCAAACGGAGCCGGTGCTGCAAGGTGCTGCAATGCTGTATGTTGTCCTGAACTGTTACGATTCCTTCTTAGAGTCAAAGGGGAGAACCGAATGACAACGCCGAAGGCAAAATGAAAGGCTTGTGTCGTTTGTATTGTTTGGGAATATGTATATTGTTGTTTATTAACACAAATGTCTTTGACGACCTCACTGTTAATCTGTTTGTTCTAGTTCTATTTTTTATGTGCTGCACTTCATTGATCTGCTGTTGAGGATTGCTAAACTTAACTGAAGTGAACTGAAAAACGACTCATAAACGAGTGTCACGGCATGCGAGCGATCATTCTCAAAATGAACGCTCTATTCTTTTTTCTGGCATTTTTAGTATTCTTGCTTTTCACGTCATCTTCCATGTTTACCCGGTATAGAAAAGACAGTGAAAGTTGTTAATTAAACGTCCGCTAGAGAAAACCATCTAGGAAGAACGTTAGGTTTTCTCTACGCCAACTGTTTAAAAAAGCCTCAACAGGTATGAACTCGCAGTCAGACAAACCGGCAAGGTGTTGTGTTGCCTGTTGGCGCGGACCATGTTATCGCCTCCACAGATCTGGATTGCCTGTAGATAAAGGTCGTTCACCGTAACGCACATTCTTATATCTAATATACACTATAATCACAAATGTTACCTCATTTTCCCACAAACCACGGTCACTTCAAATGACGGCAACCAATAGAAGGATTCCAGAAAATGACAAATCTAAATATACAGTGAGATGGAACTATGCGATGCGTGCAGGCAAAACGAAAATGACGTTTCACTAGCTCATTGTTCTTGCCCAATGGCATTGTTCAGATTTAATTAACTTTGCCATTCTCTAAGGTCTTTCTTTAGCTCGCCGTCATTAGCTGTCTCCGTGCTCTGCAGAAAGCTGAACTCATGCAGCTTTTACTCCCTTGTCCGTACTATTTATTGGTTCAGACTGATGTCTCGAATATGGGAGCCAGCGTGTTGATTTGAAGGACTTCAGAATGTATTCTTCTTGCGCAGGCCCAAGTGACAAACAAAGCCGGGTATGCGTTGTTTTAAAACCAGATATATTTTTTTTCTTCTTCGTAGAGCTAGTTTGTAATTACGTAATAAAGTAGGTTAATTGTGAGATTTTGGCGATGCTATTAACAACCCCTTTGCACTAAAAAATTCTTCGCGTTTTCGCGATCAAGTTTGCAGAAGGAGACAAAATGATACACTTATTGCTTTTGTTGTCGAAACTTTACAACGCAAATCAAGTTTAATTTTCATGAGCGTGATATGTAGGGTGTCAATGCAACAATATGTAGGCCGTTTTCCTAGTCCCTGAAGTAATTTGATAGTCATTTTATAGCATTTTACAAAACAAAATAAAAGATCATGCACGCATATTTCACGATTATTTTTTGCAAGCCAGAAGAATAATCTACATCCTCTGTCGTCAAAGCGTCGTAGTCAGTCCCGTCCCGTGCTCATTGGGTTGAATGATCGGCCAAAAAATAGTGCCTTTCCCGTGCCCGTGCCGACCTTCTCAGCTTTATTGCATACGAGCTTCACGATTCATTTTACCAGTCTACGGTCTTCTCTCTCACATCTCGCCACGTCGGACTCTTGCTGCTGTAGAACTGCGAGTACCACTTCCGGAAAGATTTAATGGTTGCGTCTTCCTTCACCAGAGCAGGATTTTTCAGGAAGGTCTTGTGATCCCATATGATGATGTCCCGACCGAACTGCGGCAATGAAAGCACATGGTAAATTTGGTTATGCCCTTGACGTTTTGGGATGACGTTGGAATGTGGGAAACTCTTCCTCTGCAGTAAGGTGCAGTTGGTGACAGGATGAGAACAGCAAGAGGGCCCTTCAGTTGTCGTAGCTTCAGCGCGGTCTTCCTACCTTCAATTACACTTCGGCGCCGCGTGAGCTTCAAACGTTCGCGTGCAGCCAATGCATAGCGGAAGGCTATAAGCGTGCGCTCGAGGCCGGGCTATAGCGCCTGGAGCACCACTCCGACTGGTGTGTTTAGCGTCCTATGCTGCCCGCATCAAAACTGGTCCCGAAGTGGCAACAAATCATGTCACTGAAGCCGAAGTGTCATCCTGTTGCATGTCGCGATCCTGGCGGTTGGTCGTAGATATGCTGGCGAAAAGCGCAAGCGAAAGTAAGTGTCAATGCCGTGACGGCGTCCCAACTTCTGGCTGCCGAAGCTTCCGTGGACTGTAACAGTGGAGAGCTACCGGCAGCAGAACAGGCGTCTGCCACATCCACCACCGCTGCTGGGACACAACCAGGATGGCAACCGGCCACAGCATGACACTTCTATAACGTCATGTAGTGGAAATTGAGGGACCACTTTTTTGGACGCGGCAAACACCCCAGTCGGAGACGTGTTCCAGGCACCATAGCTGGGCATTCCAACAACACGCCATTTGGTTCTAACTCCTTGTTACGTCAAGAACGAAAGAAAGATTTGCGCATTATTGAAGCGCTACAGGAAATAGTTCTTACAATATGTGGTTATCGGAAAAAAGAAACCACGTTTTTGGCGTTTGAAACATGTATGATTGATAAAAGAACGACATGTCTATCTAAAAGTCCGCCACACATATGTTAATTCACCACAGAAACTAGTAAAGTGATTATGCTCCGCGAAAAGCTGGAGTTTTTCTTTTTTTGAGAATTCGAGTATAGTTCACGGCTCTAATTCAACCAGGCGATGGGTCTGTGGCCAGGCCAGTAGGCACTAAAATAGTCCAGAGCGATGCTAAGAGTCCACCTGCCGCGTGTCAAAAATAAATAAAATGGCAGAGTCATTCCAAACCAAGGGAGAGCCGCTATTGCTACAGGTATCACAAATAAATAAATAATGAAAAGTATCCTGTGGACCTTCTGTACAAAATCGTCAAACAGCAAACACTGTTCACTAGGATGCAAATAAAGTTTATATGCGAAATTTTTTACGCTTCAGCACCACCGACTGTTAACACAGGAACATGTTTCTGACTGACAGGTAATCTCGAATGTTTTTAGGGTTACCAAAGAGATAGATGACTTTGATTAGAGGGTGGAAAAAAAACTCATTGTTGAGTCAGTGAGGCGAGTGGCTAATAGCTCTCGATGCTTCAAGCTTTTCTACTAAACAATTTGGGTTAAGAGGGGGGGGTGGATCCCATTCCTCTTTTACTCCCCCCCCCCCCCCCTCCCACTTGTCATCAGCATGCCTGTCCCCGCTATAATATTCTTGCAGCCAATTGCCCGCATGATATTGTGGGAATCCTTATTCCCCCATTTCGATATGACCGCGATGGCACAATCTTTGCCTCTTCGCGTCGTCGGGGAGTGGATAACCCGTTTTTTCCCTCTCCCTTGCGTCTCCACTTTCAAATTCCATTTGGGGAGGGCTTTTCCTTCTCCCTGGAAAATCTGCTCGGCTCGACGGGATGGTCCCGTCGCGCTCGAGCTGTCTGGATCCCATTGACGAAGGATACGTATTGTCGACTTCTCATGACGATATGTGACTTCTTCAGCTCTTCGATTGACAAGTCATTCGGGGCCTATGACCCGACGCTATCACGGCCGCTGTATTTGAGAGAACTCAGTTTCAATAAACGTTACTTAAAAAAAAAAGTATGCACATAATACTGAAACTGGAGCAATAAGAGTGTATGACCACACGCTCGACCAAAGCTCAAGAACAAGCGCTCGTGCTCACGCATTTTACATTACTGCGTGCAACTATTCGCGGTGAGAAGCTCGGTAGGGGCGCTTCTGTTTTTTCACTGTGGGCAGTGCACATGTTACGCACGCGGTTATGTTTTAATTTTTATAGTGCATAGAAGCTTAACATCACGCGTGCTTGCACCAGCAGGAGGAAGTTTAGGTATCCTCACTTTAGGTTGTGAGAAATTTCACCAAGCTGCGGTACCCACACGCGAATACTGCGTTCATGTATAGAGCTGACAGTGCGACCAAGGTATACAGGCGCGAGAAAGCAGCTTTGAGACGTTGCGCTCACGATTGAGAGGCCCGTTTCAAAAGGGATCTTTCGTAGTTTGGTTATTTACGTCCGAACCTTCTAGCGCAGGTAGACGCTTCTACTGATCATGCGCACCACTAACCTTCTCTGCAGAATAGACCGATCTTACAGCCAGTTTTATTACACCACCGCTGCCGCCATGCATCGTGGGAGATGTAGTTTTTTTGCACGCGCGACAACCCCGCTGAGGGCCTGCGCCAGCGGAGCACGAGGCGGTACGAGCTGCCTCGTGAACTGGTGCCTGCCTCCTATGAACTACAGTGATGGTGGCGTCACAAGTGCGTGGAACGCTTAGTGGGATCGGCCTATTACAGATATCATTTCTGGTCACAGTAAGCTAGAGGGATGGCGGGTGCGGTTGCAGCCTTTGCTCCCTTCTCAACGTACGGGTGAACCAGAGTGAGCTTACATTCTTTCTCTTAAATGCAACATTTTTTAACCATGGAACAAGCCCACGCCCTCAGTTTGAAGCGCGAAAACGGCACCTAGTTTCCCTGTTGCCAAAGGCTGGCGCGCGGCGACGAGGCTCCCATTGGCCGCTGCGCTCGTCAGTTTCAACGACCGCCGCCAGATGGCGCTACGTGTCCGTGCCGCCAGCGCGGCGATTAAACAAACCGGCGCAACCCCATGCCATTACGGGCCCATTTGCCGGTTAAAACGGACACGTTGGAGCGCACTCGGAGGCTTCTGCTTGTCTCGCCGCCGACCAACATGCTGTCGTTTCCATCATCGACATCGTCGGCGGTGCTTCTGCTCGTCTCGCTGCCAACGAACATGGCGCCGCCTCTAACATCCACATCGTCGCCGGTTCTTCTGCCACAACTCGAAAACATTACTCGTGACGAAAAACTCCGCGGATCGCTCCGCGGCTTTTCATTGGACATTCATGCTTTCGCATTCACAACTCATAAGAAGTGCTTAGGTGTCTTCCGACTTTTTTACGACTACCATAATACGGGCGTATGAGAAATGAAAAGCAGTGTTGGAGAACATTTTTGAAAACATCAAAATTCTTTCTAATGTCTTTTTGATATGTGCATGAAAAAGTAACGTGAAACTACTTTGTTACGCAACGAATAAAGTAATCCGTTACTGTTCAGCGAAAGTAATTCGTAACGGTAATCAATTCCACTTTTAAAGTAACTGGCAGAAGATTGCATAAATTGTAAGGTGGACGCTCTATATTTCAGGATAGCAATGCCAATAGTTGGGCCATAGTTGGGGCAGTGAGACACCGAAAATATGACGCAAGATCCCAAGCTATGTTCTTAAGTAGGCAGTGCATGCGTGTCCTCAACAATATCCGCAAACATTGCCCACTCTGTCTTATTTGCCCTTTTTTTTCGTTTCCGACTAACCCGTGATTGCATCAACAAGACAGCTGGTGTAGTCCTTACCATGGAGTAAGTTCCAATTTCCATAAACCTCCGGATTGGCCATAGCAGGCTGCGATCAGCGTAGCTCTGGATGATGCCTCGGATGTCACGGGGACCGTGGGGCGTGAACGAGAAGACGTAAAAAAGATTGCCGAACGGACTAGTGGCATGTGCAATAGTCAAGCCCGGTCCTAGCTGCCACAGCTCAACGTGATACGAGAGGACCTTCCATCCAAAAAGTTTAACTTGCAGATCTGTGCTGATGCAAACCTTGACGCCGTGCTCAGACCATTTGATGTCATAGTCGAACGTCATTACGCGACATGCCCACGAGTCGCCCGCAACGCGCTCGTACTCCTCAGGCCCTACGAACGATGAAGACTTGTGAATCTGACTGAAGTGGTGGACGTCTGCTCCGTTTTCAGTAATGTCCTGCATGTAACCAAAGATTTGTTTGTCGTACAACCCAGTTCGCTTCCACTGCCCACTGGTAATCTCCTGGTGCTCAGTCACATCCCACGTTGGCTCTTCTCCATCCGCGTGGTACCATCCCAGAAGTAAGCCGTAGGCTTCCTTGGAGATCCACTTCTTAGCTTTCACAAATTCGGGATCTGTTGGCACATGAAGAATTCCACAGAATATTAGCTTGTATCTCTAGAGGTTACTAAAATATTAAGTTAGTAGTCGGGCGAGAGTGACGGCCTGGGAGGATATCTAGAAATTATATTAAATTAAACGTTTATTACCTCCAACGGAGTAGAAGGCAGGGAAGAAAATCATCGTGGCGTCTTTACAAGTTCCCTGCCCCCTAGATTTCGCAAGATGGGGCAACGCCAGCATATAGCACATAAATATCACACGTAAGCATTTAATTACAACAATAAACATATCAAATCACGAAAAAAGTTTACAAGAATATCAATATGCACTATATAATATCGCAAATTCGGAAGCCACAATGAAACCACTGAAACGCGAATATAAAGTATACCTTAATAATATCTGAAAGTGAGAGTACAGAGGTCTCAGGTGGCGATTAAGCATATACAGAGAACATCGTTAGGCATATAATAAAAGCAACTCGACTAAACAGAATCTATTGTAAATTAATTATGGTGTTATATTATGTTCTGTTAGTTCATTTAGTAAGACTTTGAGGCTAAAGGTAATGGAGTGATAACAATAAAATTGTCTACAAAATGGGATGTTCCAACTTTCCGTGTGCCTTGATTTTTGCTGTAGAGTTTCGTCTCAGTTTCTGTAAACGCATTACATTTATGTTGTTAGTCTTTATTATCAATTTAAAAGCGATAAACGTTTGTGGTTGTAAAGGTAATTTATTTGTAGTATCTTGAGGTCAATCAAATGAGTACTGATGTTGCGTACCATAGACCATTCGCGATTGTAGGTATGGCCCACTTTTCAACAAGGATAAGCGCAAGTTTAAGACACCACTTATATTTTGAGCGAGCATAAGGGTAAGTGTGTAAGTGTAGAACTACACTGTCCGATTTACGTGGTTAAGATGGCCATAACGTTTGGTTTAGTATAGCACCAGGTGTATTTTGTGTATTCCCAAAGATTTATTTATGCTCCAGATTCATCAGCCTGAGAGGCAGTGCCAAGATAATGACTAATATGAGATACGAAAATTAACTACTGTCTTATTCATAGACGCGGCTCCCTAGGAGAGACTGGCCTCACACGTCCTCATGATGCATATTCTATCAACTGATGAAGACAGCTGACCAACGTTTTGCCGCACCCACTCCGGTAAATCATTTTCCCACAGTGTCTCCACACGTGGAAGCAGCAGTTAAATTTTGAATGCTCATTGTAATGGTTGACCTTTACTCATTTGGTATAAAATAAAAAATAGTGCATACTTCACCACTGTGTCTTACCACAGAAATCACATAAGAACACCATTAGGAGCCTTCGCGCTTGGCCGAATAGGAATAACATCTTTGAAAACAAATGAAGCTTCACAGCGAACAAGTCAAATAACTGGCAAATTTAATTGCAGTTGGAGAGCTCATATAAAATTGATTGTAAGCTTACTGTCTTGGGTTTATATCTAATGAAAACAGAAGCACGTTAGCACGTCCAGCCCCCAGGAAAATGCAGGTATGAGGTGTGCGTATACCAGATGAGTCTGCGTACTCTACTGAATCGTAAATATTTTATTTCATTATGAAAACGAACGAATGCCACTCGGATGGGGAATAATTATGATAAAATATAGGGATTTCCTTGACGTGCCTAATAGAGTGCTGCTCAAGTCATGCACATAAGTGATATGATAACGTTTATTTTGATTCTCAGAAAGGGCCGCAAAGCACTGTAGTCAGCTTCGATAGGCGTCTGGTGTTTCAGCTGTAAATAAAAAAAAAATGAGCCAATCCAGCACAACCGTTAGCCTGGGGAGCTTAGCGTGCACCACGCACTAGCCATGCACTACTGCAAGCCGGTACGATGCTCATCCAGATCTTAACGAGCAGGGGTGGAGATTGAACAAAGGATCCACGGGGTCCGCAGGGCGAGCTTTCGCTCCAGGAGCTCCGAGCGGCGGAATAAAATATTTATATTTTAGAGCCAGAGCATAGCTTATTCCGGATTAGGAATCAAAGGAAAGACTGAGTGGGGAAGAAACGGTGATAAACATATGCGGACATATGCACATGCACCTGACTAAAACGTCTGCATGTCTCTGGGGTTGAATAAATGTTCACTCAGTTAGTTGGGGAAATGGAACTGCAGTGCTCCAATTAAAATGGGTGCGAGAGAGAAACAGCTCAAGGTGTTGTGTCCTAGTATGCTTATACCTGAGCCCGCAAAAGGTATGAAATTCGTACGTTTACTAGCGTAAGGCACGTGCGTGCAAACCCCGTCTTCTCCTCTGAACCTCCATCCGTGGAAAGGGCACTCGATGCAGTCTCCCACAACACGGCCCATCACGCCCAGGTTTGCCCCCAGGTGGGGACAGTAGGCGTCCATCACGTGGGCGACGCCATCTTGAGTCCGGAACACGACCAGTTCTTCTCCTGCAGCAAGTTTATACAGTCGAAGGAGTCATATCCAAATTGTAATCTATATGACTTTTGCGAAGGTGGTACAGGCACGGCCGCTTGGTTTTGATTCTCGATCCGCTGTAAACGGCCTGCCGAGTTACTCTTTTTGCAGGGTGAAACTGAAATGCTAGAGGTGGTGGCAGTGACTAGTTTAGGATGTTTTCACTTGACGTCGATCCGCCATTTTGTTGTTATACATCCCGCTATGAACCCTATAGACCTCTGTACACTGCGTATTTGATGTTGCCAGAAATATTTTTCAAAGGCTCGTCTTTGGCACGCGGCAGGTGGCTCCAAACTTCGAAATATTGGACCGAATGACGTCGATGAAAACGCTTTATTGAGCCTCTTAGCTCTGATTATACCTCTTGCTAAATTACCCAAGCACCATAGGGAATGCTAGAGTGTAGTTATACATGCTTCCAGTGCTGGCATTTGCGGTAGTAACTGTTCGAGAACAAAACTAAAAAGAAATGAAACTTTGCTTAGCGTTTATCAATGCCTTATTTTTGGTGTTTACGTGGAATTTATTTGCAGGTAAGATAAGCGCGATCACCGCGTGTACCTACGTTGCCAGAAGTCTTCTTGATGGATGGGTAATTTGGAAAGAGCTTTATTGGCGACGATCGTGACCAAAAGCGTCAGAGTGGTCGACCTTCCACAAGTGGTGGAAGGCTCATTGTGACGACTTGAGTATGAATTCGGCAGATCAGTGGTTTAGCGATATGCTGCAGTGTAAGCAATGTGGTCCTAATTGCGAAGTAAAAACGTACTTTTCGAAAATCCTTTTTTGTTCACATTCCTCCTAGCTAAAAGCACGGCGAAAGACGCAGTTGGCTCTCACCACCCGCCATCTCCTTCCGCACAATATAGTTCGTCTGCTGTGGTCAGCGATACCCACTGACCTTGTGGAGATTCCCGTGATCTCCCTTCCCCTTTCCGGAGAACCAAAGGTCTCCGGAACCCCATGCGGGGTTCCGGAGACCTCTGGCTCTCCCGAAGCCAGCATCAAGCAGGTAAGGACCTTCTGTTAGACTCTTAAAAAAGCTAGTGGTATTTACTAAATAAGAGGTAATGACCGCTTGTCACATATGTTGCTAGGTACCTAGTAACCGTAGGTAGTAACGGTGAAGCTAGTAATGTACGGGTTCTAGATTCAGACTAGTACCAGTTACTAGTTTATTGACCTAGTAGGTCAATAAACTAGTAACTGGTACTAGTCTGAATCTAGAACCCGTACATTTTACTACATCTAACTAGTACCTCGCGCTACCTCGCGACAGAAGACCGGAAACGCAACGAGCGCAAGGAGCTACGTGATTTCTGGTGAAAAGAAAAAAAAGCGTGTGGTTATGCAACTTAGGTGGTGACGAGCGGCACCGGGCTCGTTAGAACTATCCTCGGAGCAGTTCACTTCCACGCATACACTCGCTTGGTCGAGCGCATGAACATTAACTATGCACTCCGACATGAGAACACAAGAAAAGCACATGTGACACACGGCGAAACGGCAGGTTTGTATCGCACAAAAGACTGTCTCGCAAACTCTGACTGGTCCCAACCGGCTACTCGTACAATGTTGCCAGCGTAGGGAAACGTATGCTTGGGAGAAAAGCGTGTTGGTTTAAGTCATGGATGAAGAAAGAATGAAACAATTAAAACAGTGACAACACAACAACATCTTTCAACTAGCAACACACGAGTAAACTTTCAACAGCGAGTAGCCGACTATACCCAGGAGGAGAAGAGGGGGACAAGGGAAGATAAGAAAACGCGAAGTGCAAGTCAGAGTGCACCACTCTGACTTGCACTTTGTTTAATTGTTTCATTCTTTCTTCATCCATAGGGAAACGTATATCTTAAAATATGCAAGAATAAAAAAGAGCCTTTTTTTTCTATTTGGAAAAGTGTTCAGCACGAGCTACGTGACTATTTTCATCCCATTTAATCTAAAATGAAAATCTAAACGCCCCAAAGATTGCGAACGAGAACAAAAGAGAAGCCGCATGGCCATTGCATCACTAATGGCTGCTACCGCCAAGGAGGTTATAAGTACTAGGAGGGGGCACATTGCAATATTGGTGAAGCCTAGTCATAAAAAGTTTAAACGATGTTGTGGCCGGCGTGACCGTAGATCTCTCTGGCAATCGGTGCGCGTGACATCTCATGTGTGAGATGGATGGAGGATTCCTTGCAGGCTTGCGCGCGCTCCGTCCGATAGGTTTTATCAGATCGAAGGCTAGACAAAGGCTATCTTCGGTCACGTGATGTGGTCATTTTGGGCTGATAAGGGAGGAGAATAAGGAGGAAAATGAGAAAGAGGCGACGCGTCAAGGGAGCATGGTTTTTGGAGGCTACGCGGCTGACGTCATGCCCTCTCCTACCCTTTTATCCTCCTTGGCTGCCACTGATCTCAATGACAATTGCTGGACCGCGCATCCCCGCTCCGCAAGTGCGGCCACTGGTCGGCCGTCTCGCACGGTAAATTCTTTGGTTTTGGTAGCGTTTTGCTGCGGTTTTCTAGGGTGCTATAGACACGTTTTCTACTCGTTCGTCGTCATTCGCCGAAGCAGTTTTTTACGACTCTGTGTACCGTTGAGACTTGCCGTTGAGAACACGTGAAAATTTTTACGAAAGAGCACTGCCACAGGAAAAAACCACAACTCGTCGAAAGCAAGTTTCGCCGGTCTCGCGGCGTGTACAAAGCTTCCTTGGCACGCCGAAGTGCCGTGTGTTTGTGCCTTCGCACGCTTGGATACCGACCAAGAATCGACGCCGTGTGTATGTGTTTTGCGAGTGCAATCTGCGTGAAGCCGTATCTGAAGGTACAACTCCTCGAAAGCAAGTGTCGCCGGTCTCGCGGCGTGATTAAAGCTTCCTTGGCACGCCGAGTGCTGCATCTTTGTGTCTTCGCACGCTTGGATACCGATCAAGAATCGACGCCGCACCAAAGTTCTGAACGTGTTTAACGCGTAAATGCCTATATATATATATATATATATATATATATATATATATATCGGCCACAGAGTTCTGTATAGTCCAGCTGTTCCGGTGAGTTGTTATCAATAAATAAAGGGGGGAGGTCTGTGCGTGTTCTTATGTACTATTAACCATGGCTAGGTTCCAAATCTACCCTAATGAATCACGTGGGAGCATGTATAGAGCACAGGTGTGGAGAAAGGAGGGTTTTCGAAGGCAAACGTACAAGACGGCGGTAATGAAAATCTTTGGTCCATATGGGCGTGTGCAATCTGTTGACCAGTCGCGCTCAAACGTCAAGTGCAAATAAGTAGGTTGATAATGAGCCAGCGCTGATCAGTGATGAGGAACTGTTTTGCGCAGTATTCTGTAAATCGTCTAAGGGCGAAAAAAAGACACACCTTTTCCCCTCTTCCGTCGCTACTGGACGCTGGATTAAGCTCGTTTCTGGACCGCGAGTGCCGCAAGTATACAGTCGTCAGAGTAAAGTAAAGTAAGACGCTGATCCGGAGGCACATACGGCTTCACGCACATTGCACTCGTAAAACACATTCACACGACTTCAATACTTGAACGGTATCAAGCGTGCGAAGGCACAGAAACACGGCGCTTCGGCGTGCCAGGGAAACTTTGAATACGCCAACGGACCGGCGAAAGTTGCTTTCGACGAGTTGTGCCTTTTTCCTGCGGCACGGCAGTTCCGTAAAAATGTCCAAGTGTTCCCAACGGAAAGTCTCCGCGGTACACAGAGTCGTAAAAAACTGCTTCCGCGAATGACCACGAACAAGTAGGAAACGTGTCTATATCACGCTCGAAAACCGCAGCAAAACGCTAGCAAAACGAAAATATTTACCATACAAGATGGCCGTCCGGTGGCCGCATTCGCACTGCCGCGACCAAGCGGGGATTCGCGATCCAGCAATAGACCGATCCCACAGCTAGTTTGAGTACGCCACCGCTGCCGACATGCATCGTGGGAGCTGTAGTCTTTCTGCACACGCGACAACCCTGCTGGAGGTCTGCGCGAGCAGAGCACGAGGCGGCATGAGCTATCTCGTGAATTGGCGTCTGCCTCCTACAAACTACAGCTATGGCGGCGTCACGCATGCGTGGAACGCTTGATGAGATCGGTCTATTGTCATTGAGATCAGTGGCTACTGCGCTCGCGGCAGCGCTGGCTTCCACGACGTGCTGGAAAGGAGGCTGCGATCGTTATAAAGTCAACTCCAACCCTTAAACATACCCCTTCCTACAATATTTGAAGTTACGACTGTGCGTGAATACCACCTCCCCCCCCCCCCCCCCCCCCCCGCGTTCCTAAGCAGTAAGTGCGTCGCTAACGCTGCCCATTGCGGATGCAGCAGACATCGCCGGTTTGTCCGCGCCTTTGGGTGGTAAATAGCTAGTAGAAAGGTAGTGACGGTCAGAAAAGCTGTAACGGCTGGAGTTACTAACTTTTAATACGAGTGAGTGGCATGCGCCGCTCAGTCGTATTTTCAAGGACGGCCCTCGTCGTTGCGGTCGTTCCAGAAGTCGTCCTTGACCTCTAGGACGACCTCACTAGTCGCAGGCAGTACGTGAAAAACAGGCGGCGTCCGTCGGCGTTGTGGCCGAAAGATGGCCATAAAAATACGTCATCAGCGTGATATCATCGAGCGATATCAAACGTCAGCAGCGTAATGTCACCGCCGGAGCGCCGTGTGCGAAAGGTGCGCTTCGTACTTATTTCTGCTCGTTGTGCGCTTCATGCGTTGGACTGTGAGGCGACCGCGTCTGCATATACGAACTCGACATCGGAAGCAGCGTCTAAATCTACGACGGCTTCCGCAGGCAAACGTGACCGCCAAGCAAATACGCCATAGCCGCTTTAAGTGCCCTCCTCTAGGCGTCATTCTCGACGTCGTCCTCAACAACACAGCTAGTGACGGTAAGTGTCTCGCCTCCGGCCACGACGAGAGAAGTGGGGAAGGAGGAATTCTCTTCTTTTCCAGAATCCCCTTTCTGTGTTCCAGAAGTTACTACTGTCCCGTCACTCAAAATTCGTACAAAAGCAGCCGCTTCGGTGGCTGGAACGACTAGGCCATCCTCTCGCCGTAGCTTTACGTCACGATTGCGTCGGATGTCCCGTGCTCTAAGCTTGGCCTTCTCCGAGCGCTTGCTAGAGTGGGCCTTTAATAACAAAAAATACAGCCCACCAGGCTCAAACTACAAACGTGCTATTGTCATTTACGGATATTGTGGATCATTTTCAGCCTATTTTTGAACACGACGGATATATTTGAAATTTCGTTGAAGTATCCCTTTAAAGGGGCTGTGCAAAAATTTCAGGGCTTTGTTTAAATTATTGTGGAAGTTGATGCCTGACACTTCTGAAGTGAACTACTGAAAACAGATTTTGCTCGATACCCTAGTTTTTATTTTTAAAAAAAATATCCAGGTTTTTGCTGCCTCTCAACTCGTACGTCGTATTCCGGGTCACGTGCGCAGTGACGTTGATGGGGTAGGCGCGGGGTTCCGGAATAGTTCTCTCTTTAGAGCAATCAGTGAGTAGCGAGAACTCATCCGCTCGCGACCGCGTGACCATGTGCTGGCGGGCGCCGCGCGAACAATATGGTCAAAGGAGGAAAGTCTCATCCGGGTCCGGCCATACCCGTCCGGCCCTGTCCCCCTCCCCCTTTGGCTTCTGGCGGCTGTTCGCGGTAGCAGAGAGAGCTGACGGTTTTGTGGACCTAGGATAGATGGCGCCACTAAAACTTCGTATAATAAAAGTTTCGTCGATGATACCAGGTATTTGACGCATTTATGTATATGTAGGAATGACAAAATTTATAGAAAAGTTACCTTTTATAGAGCAGGTATTCGTACAACTCAACATCTTTCTTCAAGATTCCCCATTTACGTGACGCCGCGTGTTTCTCATGGCCGACGCTCGCGGCTGCAGGTCGGGAATATTCTAAGTTTTGCCTCGTTATTACGCGGCGGAATCGCAACATTTCGATGAAAGGGGATGCGTTTTTTGTCATTTAGGACAAGGTGCACAATATCAAAAGCAGAAGATACTAATTCTTTCAGCGTTAAAATCGTTGCACAGCTCTTTTCATATAGTATATGTACATAACTAGTTCTGTAGTAAGCGCTTTGGTTTACTTTATAAAATGGAATTTTATTGCGGGACTTTCGTATTGGTCCCTTTAGCAAGGTCACCATGTCTCAAAGTGCCGGTGACGTAATCAGCCCTCCATTAGTCAGTTTTCCTATAATCCATTTCACCTAAGCTATGTATCGCCGTGAAGGCTGGAAGTCTGAGCTAATAGTTTTGGCCGTTGCACCAGCGGCGCTAAAGTTCCTGCACGTCTGCCGGGTGCGACCTTGAGCAAAGAACTTGCACTTGTTGATTTTCCAGCGGTACGAGATTATGAGGTGAAATGGAGTATAGTGATCCGGTATATCTTCAACGCGCGAAAGAGTGCCTCCTGGCTCCGGGGAAGGGCGATCTTTCACCAGGTTCCTATGTTCCAAACCTAAGCAGTACTCACACAGCTTGCACGATCCAGACACCGATGTTCTGCCGACAGGAAGATTCAAGAGCGCAACGTCGCCAAAGAAAATCCGTAGAGTTTGAGTGTTTTTTTTTTGACATAGACGCACGGACTCACTTATTGGCTATCGACCCTCTAATCATTTAGCTAGCAGCATTGGCCAACGTTCGTAATCTCCGATTTTCGAATAGATCCTGTAAACCCCTAGCATACACTCATATTGTAACACAGACGTCCTCCTTGTCACAATTCAAATTCGAGGTTTCTAATGCGTCGTGAGAGACCAGAAATATCGAATGAGCTATAAAAATGCGTCGTTATTCGAAATAATGCACGAAAAATAAACAACGTGGTTATGCACTATCATAGATACGTCATAACGTTGAATTCTCACAGGAGTCACTGGAGAACGCAATTCTGGTGACTGATCGTACAAACGTCGAAGTAGGCGTGTGAACGCTGTTGTCGCTAGCGTTATAGGACGACTCCAGCCCTAGACAACCAAATGTTTTGTCAACTCGTCGCAGGTCGCAGATCAACAGTATCCCCATGCTCTTGTGCAACCGCCAGGATCGCTGAGATTCGCTGCACAACACAGTAAAGACTTCAACAGCCGAGAAACGAAGGGAAGAAAGAGAGACATGGAGAACACGCCACTCGTGAACAAGTTCTAGGAATCATAGTTGCACCGAAGTTGCTATACTCAGGAAAATGATTGTGAAGAGCTAGCTTGTTTGTAATCTCTGGTCTGCACGAAGAAAACATAAAAAAGAACGTTGCACACACACACACACACACACACACACACACACACACACACACACACACACACACACACACACACACACACACACACACACACACATATATATATATATATATATATATATATATACAAACGTATATACAAACCCCCTCGCGCAAGGATATATCTATATATATATTTTTTTTTTTTGCCAAATTCGCTTACCCATAATATTTAGGGACTTCACTTTGTTGATTTCCAGCTCGGACGAGAGAAGAAGTGGGATCCAGCCGTTTGGGAAAACGGGCTGCATTTCATCGCGAAAGTATTGTTGCATTCTTGGCCTTTTCTGAAAGAACAAAATCATGTAAGTAAAATGGGCGAGACGCATTATTATGCACATTGAAGAATCAAGATAAAATGTCATGACACTCTTTCCGCACTTAGGAGTCACGAATATCAATCTTTCGTATCTAGCTGTGATTGGGACCGGCGACGTTTCGGATAAAATTGACGGTCACAGAATCACAGATCGTGCCGTGGAAGCCTCAAGTTGGCAGCCTATTTTATCAACAAAAATATCTGTTCACGCCGGCAGATCAAACGGTGCTGTAAAAAAGAATATTGCACAAGAAAAAGACGTTCGGGAAAGGTGATTAATCCTAAGCACTTAACAAACCAATGATCGGGTCGACGCATCCCTTAAACGAGCTGGGGAGTTTTTGACAGCATTGCGAACATAAAGAAGTCCGAGGATACCTAAGCACTTCTTATGAGTTTTGAATGCGAAAGTATGAATGTCGTACTTCGGCTCCCGCCGCAGTTGGCCACTTTCGCCGGCGGACGGCCCAGCGCGCGCTTTCGCGAAGTGGCCGCACCGAGCTCGGCCGTGCGGCCTCTCTGGAGTATGCCCAGGCGGGCCCTGGCTCTGCCGCCACCGCTCCCTTCTCTTACCGGCAGCCGCGCCGCCGCGTGCGCTGCACCGTCATGGAGAGGTCCTCTCTGGTGGCTCTTTTTTGTAAATTTCGCCGCACGATAGCCAATGGGAGCTTCGTTCCATGATGACGCGCGCCGGCCAATGGGAGCATAATCTATCAGAAATCGGCTTCACTTGGGAAAGGGGATTTTAGGTGGCGTTTGGCCATCGCTTGGCGTGGTTTCAAAGCTAATGACCTCGGTTCGTTCCACGGGACAGTTAATGGTTTCGTATCCAGAAATATTGCTAATCTAAAATAAGAAATTTGGGACTCCAATCCACGCTGTGAACCTGGTTGGCCGGCGAAGCTGTGGTATCATCTGCAACGAGTGTCCACTGCACTATGCCAAAGGCCGCCACTGGTCGTATTGCAGTTACTTTTCCCTTTGCCGATCCTCGTACAAATCTTTGCTTCGCATCCCCCACCGGCAAGAAATGCTGAATCACTGAGATGTGGACGCATGCGCAGCGTGTGATATAGCACACAGCAGATGTATAGCCCATGCTTAGAAAGCGTTCCACAGCCCAGCAGACGAAGATAGCAGCGCGCAGAAGGTGATTTTTGCAAAGTCTATTCACGCTGCTCCTTGGGAGTCCTGACTACGCGTGGCCTACCCATAGTGGTGCTGCAACAACAATGAAATCAGTCTCAATACTCAGTTTCACCGTAAGTCCAATCGCAGCCGATGTTACGAGCCATTGGAGCCAATCCAAGGCCGTGTGAGCGTCACGTGACCTTAGACAAGGGGCACAGCGACGCGCGGAAAGCGTATCGCGGGCTATACGTCCACAGAACGGGATTGGGTAGGATAGCTCGTAGCGTCAACTGCATCTGGACGTAAGGTGGAACGGTGTATAGGAGGGTTCTTATATATATCATAGGGGTGGCGTCACTCCCCACGTCGCAAGCTGCCGTCGCCGCAGCAGCTTGCGACGTGGCGACAGTAATTTTACCAAGAAACGTATGCGGTGAGCGGTACGTGCTTAGCATAGTTATCTCAAGCGCCTTATCATAAATTATCTAGTTCTGATTCTTGTTTGGTGCTTGTTTTTTTTATTAAAATCAATGCTCTGCTGTATGTTGTATGCGTGATGTATAAATTTTTGCTTGGATCGCTGAAGTTTTTTTTTTCTTTATTGTTCTTTTTCTTTCCGTGAGGGCGCCGACGCGAAAAATTGTGACCAACGAGTCATATATACAGTTTCGCTGTAAAAGGTTTCTGAATTGTATTAGAACGAATACTTTCTTCGGCGGAGTGGAAGGCATATTCAGCAATAAACTTTATAATACGATTTGTTTTCTAAGTTTAGGGAATCCAGGTTTCACTATTAAATGCGACAACTCTTGTTGTGACCTACCACTTAGGATTTCTGGTGATCACTCATGTGACCTTCCCACTAAGCCAATGACTAGTTATTAAAAGCATAATTAGTTGTTTTATTGTGCGCTACGGCCCCCGTAATCATTAGCATTAGCTGATGCTGACGTCTACACTTACCTTTTTCTGTGTCTTTGAAGAGTCTCTCTTGTAGTAGGTCCACAAAATCCAAAGAAAAGTCGCTACGAGACATCCGTAGATAAAAAACTGAGACTTCAAGAGTGCGTCGTTCATTTTGAGTAAAGTCGGAATGGCAGTACAACACCCTTAGACGTTGCACAGCTCCACCACACGCGACAGCGCCTATTAAGCAAATGTTGGAGATGCACGTTTTCACTAGACAGAATTAACATCTCCGTTCGCCAATGCCAGAAATTCCTCTGCGGGCAATAGCACCTACGTGACATGAAAACCAGTACTTGTTTCTAAAGCGGAGAAGTGTTTAACTTGCTGCCCTGCACCCTCTTTCCCTCGCATTCTCCCCTTTCTTTCTGTCGGAGCGCATTGCCTTAAAAAAAAAGAAAAGAGACGACTTAAATAAACGATAGCGGTCTGCTTGCAGAAGATAAGGGTCTTCAGTCTCTCTTTCTCTCTCTCATTGACGCAAGTTCTTCGCCAATAGAAAATTGTCGTTTTTGTAAGTATATATTTTTTTCTAAAGTAGGACATGAGCGGCCAAAGAAAACGCTGAGTCGTGCAATAACAACGTTCTAATTTACTGGGTGGAACTGTGGTAACTGTAAGAAAACACAGGCAAAAAACAACATGAAGACGTCAACATTTCTTTTTTTTGTTTCTTGCGCGTGACATGGTAAACAGTTTTTTTTTATTTATTTAGGAATACTAATGGAGGGGGGGGGGGGGGGGGCTCCACTCAAGGAGCCATGGTAGACGTGGGTACAAACATGTAAACAAGATGCAGATTTATAAATGAAAACTCAATTAGGTGTAAATTCAAGAGCAGATACAAAATTGGCAACAGTTCTGTTGACGACGACATCATTTAGTAATTCGTTCCATTCTTGAATTGCCCGAGGGAAGAAAGAATATCGAAAACAGTCGTTTTTGAACCTGTATTGTTTTAACTCTCTCGTGTGGTTTAGACGTGAGGACCCGGTCGATAATGGTTGTATATAGTGAGAGCTTTGAACATCAAGAGTGCCGTTAAGGATATTGAACAGGAATTTTAATCTATTAATTTTCGCTCTTATTTAAAACGGTTGAAGCTTCGCTCTAGTCACTAATTCAGTGGACGATGTTTCTCTACGATAATCATTAAAAATAAACCGAGCAGCTAACTTCTGGATACTTTCAAGCTTATTAATACCGTTTTGTGTGAAAGGGAATCATACTGTTCTAGCATATTCTAACACAGGCCTAATAAAACTTTTATACGCAATAAGTTTAGTGTCACAATCGGCAAATTTTAATTTCCTACGGCACGCGAACAAAGCACACGTAGGGGTACTTTTTCTCAAAGAACATAATAGAATATCATTCGACGTTCTTGGGATCTGAAACATCGACGTCGAAGTTTCAGATCCCGAGAAACTTAGAACAAAAATGAAACATTTTTCTTCTATTTTTGTAAGTGCGTATAGCTATACCAGGAGGGCTTTGCAAGACGGTGGGACGAGAAGGCCGGGAAATCGCCGCCTGCTGGGATTGGTCAGCGGAGTGGCGCTGACCAATCGCAGCAGGCGGCGATGGCCCGGTCTCTTCGTCCCGCCGTCTTCCATAACACCCCTGGACTAAGACGGAGTCAGTGGCGTAGCCAGAAATGTTTTTCAGGGGGTGTTTTACTTCCCCGGTGAGACCGAAGGAGAAAAGGGGGCTCAGATATGTACTCTTTACGAACATAAGAGCATACTTTTGGTTATTCCTCTGCTCTTATCAAGACAAAGACTCACTTCTTATTTCCACTATCACCACTACCTACATAAGAAAGTGCAGGAGACTCAGTACATTCAGGTACTAAGAGAAAAAAATTTTAATACATGAAAGCACAACAATTCCTGTAGGTAGACAATGATGTGAACATAACATGGAAAATGAAATGCCATATGTACAGGGTCCAAGCGAGAAAAGTAAGCAACGATTTTAAGATTAAAAGAATTTGCATTTCGTCATTTTTACGTTGTTTATCGTATCCCGGAAGATAGAGAAAAAACTCCTTCATTCAGATATTTCGCCATTCCTCTGCATAATCGCAAAGCAAAAATCGAGCTTTCTCCCCCACCTGCAGCGGCGAGTGGCAGCCGAAGGAACTGCGGCGAAAAGTTTACGTGACCTCGCTCGGCTCTGAGTTGCAGCATCACGCCCGCTAATGTCAGCAGACAGAGGGAAAGGGAGCGTCGACTCCAGCGACCTATAGGGGGCGCCACCACCAAACAAACTAAGGCAAAACTAAGGGAGGTAGTGAGTACCATGATAACAAAAGGAAATATTCCAGATGAATGGAGGCTTAGTAGGATGAGTATGATATATAAGGGAAAGGGAGATAAGTCTGATATTAGGAATTATCGTCCTATAACCGTGACACCGGTTATTTACAGGTTGGTAATGCAGATTATAAAGAACAGACTGGAGGAATGGGTAGATTGCGAGGGCATACTGGGCGAATTACAGAACGGGTTTCGAAAACAAAGAAGGTTGGAGGACAATTTATTTTCTCTAACACAGTGTATAGAAATAGCGCAAAAAGAAAACAGACAGCTCTGGCTGGCATTTCTGGATATCAAGGGTGCCTATGACAATGTGAACCAAAGAAACCTGTGGGACATACAGGAGAGCTTAAACCTAGATTAAGGACTAACAGCCCTATTAAGGAACATTTACAAAGATAATAAGGTGATTATAACATGGGAAGGAAAGGTGACGGGGGAAATAGAGGTAAGACGAGGCCTTAGGCAAGGGTGCCCATTATCGCCTTTGCTGTTTATGTTGTATCCGAGAGGATTGGAGGATAGACTAGAGAAGAGTGGGCTTGGATTCGACCTTTCGTACAGTAAACTAAGCCAAAAAATTCAGCAATCCTTACCGGGATTGATGTATGCGGATGATATTGTACTAATGTCTAACAACAGGACAGAGTTGCAGGAATTAATGAGCATCTGTGGTAAGGAAGAAGAAGAATTAGGTTTAGAATTCAGTAGTGAAAAATCAGCAGTCATGATTTTTAACTGTGATGAAGTTGAGAGGCTGAAAATACAGAATATTACAGTTAAGAGAGCTAGTAAATACAAGTATCTAGGAGTGTGGATACGTGATGGTGCAGAATATCTCAGAGAGCATGAAAAGTATATAATAGGTAAGGGCAACAGAAATGCAGCTGTAATGAAAAATAGAGCACTTTGGAATTACAACAGGTATGAGGTGGTGAGAGATATTTGGAAAGGGGTCATGGTGCCTGGCTTGACTTTTGGAAACGCAGTGCTATGCATGAAATCCGAAGTGCATGCGAGACTAGAAATAAAACAGCGCGGAGTAGGTAGACTGGCTTTGGGGGCACATTGCAAAACGCCAAACCAGGGAGTACAAGGAGACATGGGATGGGCATCATTTGAGAGCAGGGAAGCGGTGAGCAAGGTAGAATTTGAGGATAGGTTGAGGCAAATGGACGGGGAGCAATGGGCACGAAAGGTTTTCAGCTATTTATACATGAGGAGTGTAGACACAAAGGGGAGACAGCGCACTAGGAAATTAAGAGGAAAGTTTTTGGGCTATAGCGAAGATGCGGAAGAGCAAGTCTCAGTTAAGAAGAAAGTTAAGGCCACAGAAAGAGATTGGTGGCTAGAGGGAATGCAGACAAAGACGGCTCTGGAAAGCTATAGATTAAACAAAAGAGTTATTGCCAAAGAAAGCATTTATGACAATTCTAGGGGAAGCTCATTGCTGTTTGAGGCAAGAACGGGTGTTCTGCGAACCAGAACATACAGAGTGAAGTACCAGGAAATTGATACAGTGTGCACTGCTTGTGGAGAGGAGGACGAGACGGCTGAACACTTGATACTCTACTGTAAAGGGCTTCACCCTATGCCTACCGAAGACAACATAGATTTAATAAAGTCATTGGGTTTTAGAGACAGCGAAGGGAGAGTGGATTTCAAGACTGTAGAGATTACCAAGCAAAGATTAAGTGAATGGTGGCAGAAATCGAGAGAAAACTAGGTATTTTCTTATCCACTGATGGCAAGGGGCTTTCATAGCCTCACTTTCTTTGCACTGCGGAGTGAATATAGATTTCACATTTAAATATTCTAAGCTTAAATGGTAAAACAAAATGGCTAGGTGGCGTAAGCTACCGCCCGATCCAAAGGGCTCAGCCGTATTCATCCATCCATCCATCCATCCATGGCGGCTGAGTCCGGGTCGCGTCGGCTCGGCCGCGCCGCCTGAAAGGGTGGCGCATTCAATTTAACAAATTTTCTTTTGTTGAATGCCCAATTTTATCGGTATTTGAACTGAGACAGTTAAGTGTAGCCGGTGCGGATAAACCTTCCGAGCAAAGTTTTGTTTTGCCGATGTTTTTTGTTCTTTTCATGTCAAACTTTCATTTCGGAGACTTCGATCAAAACCGAAACTATGGGCTCCGGAGAAACGGTAATAGATTCTAAATAGTTTTGATCATCTAAGGAAAGCGGCGAGGGCTACAAAATTGTTCCACCGAGAGTAATTTTTAGCTAACTCGCATGCCTCGACCATGCGACTTATCTGTCCGCGAAATTGAGCGGTTGTGCCTGTCCGGTCAAGAACACAGGCTGCAGGAAAATTACGAAAATTAAGCAAGCGCTTCTTGAGCCAAGGAGCATGTCAACTCGCTGGCGCTTCACTAAGTAGCTGATACTCCTGTTTAAATTCAGGTTTTAGTAGCAATCCAGAAGTCATTTTGACGAATATGCAGATTATGTATTATATTACGTACAAGGGCGGGGGGGGGGGGGGGGGGTCCCACTAAAGCGATATTAGTATATTCTTCGGGTTGAAATATGAACTTAATTAACTAACTATTAGGTGAAATGCTGAATAAAAATATATTTGGCAGACAGAGAGATACTACTTAAACTTAGCCAAATAGTTCTAGCCGGTAGAACGGAGACGAATGCGGACAAACTGAGAGTCTTCATCGGAGATTCACTCGTACCTCTCTGCATTGAACATGACTTCGAATCCTGAACGGATAAAACGAGTATTTTTTTGTGGCCGGTCAACCTGAGCAATGTAGACGTATATTG